AGTCGAAAGCTCATCTTTCATGTGATCTAAGAGACACCACAGCTCTTGTTGAAAAATCTAGTAAAATTTCGATATCTCAAAAAACGAAGATCCAGAATATCAAACCATCTTAGATTTTTCTATTACTCTCTATTATTTATCAAATGAATATTGTCTTGATCGAAAAGCGATTTAATATCTGGAAATGTTTTGTCGTTAGATGTAGTATTCTGATTTTTTCAGTGACTACCGACCAACTTTTTATTTTATTTTGATTTAAAACTGCGGAAACCTCTGGAAAAATCTGATGAATTTACGTTCTGAAATACGGCCTTCAAATTTTATTGATTTCTGTAACTGTTCTATCGACTACAATGATTTTTTTTCGACGAGTTCTCATGTGATCTACTTGTTTTCATGATCCGAAACTTAAAATTTACGAATCGATTTTTTCAATCTAAAGTTTTTCATTTGTTAACTACGTAGGAATTATAATCTATCTTTTCTTTTATTTCTTTGCTGCTTCAATATAAATAAGAGTAAAAAAAGAAAGAATTTCTTTCTTCTCATGTTCTTACCAAGTACAGTCGAAGTTTTTCTCAGTCCATGTTCAAATATTGATTTGATACATGTAGCTAATTTTCCTCGAACAAGATCTGATATATTTTCATTAACACTATCATCACCAGCTAATGAATATAATTTAGATCTTTCATCAACTAATTGTACAAATTTAGCTGGAAACCATCCATGTTTTCCATTTAATTCTCCAATCCAACAATGTTCATCAGACATTGATAAAATTTTTATAATATCATTTTTTTTAAAACCTAGTTCATTTGAATCTTGACATTCAAAATCTAATAATGCTTTAGCACGTTTACATTTTTGTAATGATATATTAGCATAATGTTCATGATCTTTAACATGTGATTCAATTGAATAATCAACATTAAGATCAATATTTTGTTGTGTATATCCTTCATGATCATTATCTTTAAAATGTTTTGCTATTTTAAGTATAGCTTCACGTAAATTAACAAGCATTTCAGTTTGTGTTATATTACGTTCAATAAGTGCTTGACAATTATTTGATATTAAATTTGATTTACTACGAAAAAACAATCCACTTGATCGATCTGTAGATGTTAATTTTTGATTATGACGACGTTGTAAAATATCTTTTGGTAAATTTAATAAATTCATTTTTGGATTTATTGTATAACCTTCTTGTGACATTAATTCAGCTAAATATTTTTTTCTATATGTATCTATTGTTGTTGATGTTAAATTAAATAATTTTGGTAAATCTTGAAATATTTGTTGATTATTACCATATTCATATTCAAATAATTGTGGTAATTCACATAGAAAATTAAATATTTGTGCACTATTATTATATTCTATTAAAATTTCTTCATATTGTTTAAACATCATTAAACCTATTTGAAATAATATAATTGAACCATAAAGAAAAAAATAATCCCATATATGATAAATAAATTTTGTATGAAATACATTGGAATATAATGTTAAAAACCATTGAAAACATATTAATGTTAAATCAATATCATGTTCATTGAATAATTTATGAATATTTGGAAGATATTGTTGTATTAAATAACGAAATACACGTATATCAACTTGTGCACCAAATAATGATACAGAATAATATTGACCTGGTAAAAGATCTTCAACAATTGAACACATCATCCAAAATGCATCTTCTTCTTCAAATGATAATAATAATGTTGCACAAATAACACCCATACCCTAACATATAGAAAAAAAAGTTCATGTTTTTATATTTCAAATATAAATTCTTTGTCTCTTTTTTTTTCGAATCAAATTTTCAAGCAGCCATTTATTTTTGTTGAGATTTATGTCGTAGCAAAAAAAATCAAGCAGCATACCAGAGTTTTTTTGGTCCTATGTGTTATTTAAAATATTAAAGCATGATTGAAACCTGAATTTGATAGAAAAAAATGGTAATGATACTATTGTATTCATTTAACAACTGAATTCGTTCTAAAAACCGGTGTCAGGTCGTGAACTGTATCATTCTGACGTATGTGGCTTTGATAAACTATCTAATTAGTTTATTATAAGAATAAAATAGTGATTGAGAATATCACCATTTAGTATGGCTCTTCATGTAGCAATGTCTTAGAACTAAGAAATAGAGATTCTTGAACTCTTAAAAAAAACTGCCAAGGTCATGTGAACCTTCCCAACAGAATTGTAGTCATTTTACTGAAATTTTAGCCTATAGAATGGTATGTAAAAAACAATGCTCTCATCATGGAATATTAAATTTAAAAAAAAAACATAAGTTTCTTGAATCTTTTGTGAAATTATGAGTAACTTTTGGAAAGTCAATATCTCGTGAAGAGGGCGTTCTTGTAAGCTGAATACTCATGTCAACATATTATCATTCGATTCTTTTGTACATACTGTACTATAGACTAAAATGTTAGTAAAACGATCGTAATTTTGTAGGAAAAACCTAGATAATCTTATCCTGTTTGTGTTTTTAGTACTTCATTAGGATCTATCTCTTCTAAACAGAGTCCGAACTCAAAAGTGATTTTCAAGTTTGGAAAACTCTCACATAAGTTTTGCACATTCTTCAAGTTTTTGATGCTAAGAATGGATTAATAATTTTTGTTTTCGTCGAAAATTGAATAAAATCATGAGAATTTATCTTACCTGACAGTAGCCAATATCTAAAATAACAAAAACAAACAAACAATTTTTTCAAAAGAAATAATTTGTTTTCCTTCTCTTTTTACCTGGAAAAAGCCATGCGATTGCTCGTAAAACTCGTCTTAATCGAGATATTCCTGATGCATTCATTGTCATAAAACAAGCATTTGTTGGTAATGTTCTTAAAAGATCTTTTTCAATTTGTTTCGAATAAAGTTGAACATCATTATTACATTGTTTAAGCATATCAGTATAGGATATTTTTGCTTGATGTTTTTTATGAACAGAACCACTAAGACACATCCAAATTTGGGTACGTATTGATGATGGAATACCAAATGATTGTTGTAAAAGTAAAGGAATTTTTGGATCTTGTCGTATTTGTTTGGGATCAATTTTTTCTACAAATTCTTGTTCTTGTATGGGTAAATGAACGACATCAATTTTATATGTTGAATCGAGATGAGTAAGCCATCGAAGTTTTGCTTGTTCATTTTCAATACGAGATACAATTTCATAATGTTGTTCATTTTCTTTAATATCAATACGAAAACCATATTCATCATATATTGTTTGTTCATCAGTGCCATGTAATAATAATGGTGGTGATGGAATAAGTGAATTAATAACTGCAGAAAATGGTTCACCAATAACAATCGGTGAATGAATTTTATGATGACCATTACTTATTTCATTGTTATGACTATTTATTTGTGATGATAATGGTGCAGAAGGAGGAGGTTGTATTGGTGGTAAATATTTTCCAGAATAAGATTCATTATCATTTTCACAATAATGTGAAAAAACATGATGTGATACTGATGAAAAATCATCAACATCATTAAATGAATTAAATATTTTTGTCATTTTCGAAATAGATATAAGAAAAAGAGTTTAGTTTTTAAAAGAAAAATGCAATGCACGGCTGCTTATGCTGTTAAGATGATATATGTGATGGTAAGTGAAATACAATAGGGATTGGTTCGATGAATAGACGTTAAAAAAATCAATTTGTTTTTTTTTTTCTGTGTTTTACTGCCATCTAGAAAACTGAAGAGTTTTATGAAAATGAAAAATGAATACTTGGACAAGAATAATAGCATGATGTTGTGATTATGACATGTAAAAAAAACGAGTTTGAAGACAATAAATTTAATATTTTATTGTTAGTTTTAATTATTATGATTAAATACAAAAAAATGAAGTGTATTTTCATTCTTGGCAAGAAATATGCTATTACGAAATGAAATTTAGTAAAAATTATTTTGTATTGAAATATAGAACCATTATTTTATAATCAACCAAATGAATTTTTCAAGCAAATCTATCTAATATCTTATTTTTACTTTTTATTATATTTAAATCTAAAATTATTACATATGTTTGCCCAATCTTACGTTCACTCAATAAACCATGTTTTAAAATTGAGTATCCGAGAATCAAATGATTCTATTTATCAAATATTATGATTTATCATCATTCAAAATTGAAACTGATTTGTCATGTTCAGATATCAAAATACGTTCACAGTGCATGACTTTTTTTGCCATAGACAAAATCTTGAGTTATGTATATAATTTAACCATCTAATGGGCTGAACTTATGGACACCATAAAAATGAAGACACTTGTAAAGATTAACTGAAACAAAACAATAGCAGATGTTCTACTCTGGATGAAAGAGTGCTCCTTGTCATGGAGAACGTCTGCATCTAATTACTAATGTAGTTTTCCTTTTGGCCTGTCTATTATAGTCTTTGTTATTTAAACTTGGAATATTTTTTAAGAGTCGAGTCATGTTAAAAACCAAACTGAAAAGTACATATGATATTTAATTAACAGTGGTTTCTAGCATTATAGATATTTTTTCTCCATCGTTTTAGTAGATGACGAAATTTCACAGAGTATTTCTATCGCTAGTGGACGATTGAAATAGGTTTATGCTGTTAATCTATACAGTTCGTACTGTTTTTTATACAGTACTTTGTTTGTGATCACGTGTGCACCCACTTGAATTCACTGGAAGGCTTCAAATCATGCCTCCAGCTGTGCTCAGAACGTATGCTTTTCTTGCCCCCCAAAAAAAAACTCAATTACTTCATGCGAATGAAAATAGAGGAGCTTGAATAGTGATTCGTCTTTATTGTTTTGCGCATCGACGAAAAAAAGAAAATTCTAGGTCACAGCTGTAAAACAGTCATCGAGGTGCCTACTCAACAGAAAAATAAAAATAAAAATACAAAATTCGCCATTTATTCTTCATTCATTTGTCGTTGTTTTTTACATAACATTCATTTTCACTTTCTATTTAGTAACATGTCATCTGTTGGCTACTGCTTCAATATATGTCGATCTGTTGACCAAAAGATAGCTAATGAACGACGATCTTCAGTATGTAATCCTCAATCAACTGAAAACCCCTCCGAGACTGGTACTTTAATATTTGGACGTCGTTTTTCATTAAGTCATTCGACACAGCCAAATACCAATCATACTTCTCAAAATCAAAATGATTTATCATCAAATCAAAATGGTTTATCATCAAATCAAAATGGTTTATCATCAAATCAAAATGGTTTATCATCAAATAAAAATGCACCATAAAATTTAATAGAAGAATGATAGACAATTATTCAGTAAAAAAATTCTTTTGTTTTTCTTTCGAAAAAAGACAACAATTCTTTTCTTCATTGCACATATATTTAACCAATAAAAAGTAGAATGACAGTAGACAACACAACAACAAGAACCAAGTTTTTTTTTTGTTTAACAAGTGAAAATAAATGTATTTTCTTTTCTTTATGAACCAACAATGATGTTATTTATAGGAATATGAATAAGTTTAACAAAAAAACCAATAAATCCCATAATTGCAAAACCAATTGCTGTTGCCATAGCGATCTTTTGAAATTCTAGTTTACAAAAAAAATTTCAAATAATAATTAGATAATAAAAAAATAAAGAAATAAATTACCTTTTCGATCAGGTTTGGTACATTTCTTAACTAAACGAATTGAATCTTTCATAAATTGTTTACATGGGTCTGTAAATTGTTGAATTTGATCCATGATATTGAGTTGAAAACGAAATGTAAGTTGAAATAATTAAAACTGATTAAAACGTGTTTTCTTGTTAAAAAAAAAAGATGGGTCGATCAATATCTTCAACTGTGTGTATAACTGTGGCAAAGAGTCTGATCGTTCGTACCAACCAATCATAGAAAAGCGTTCGTCAATTGATGACGTTACTCTGCATTAATGTATTGATCAGATAATAATATATTTTATTTCTCTAACATTTTTTCTTTGAAGTGAAATTTCTTTCTAAATTATTTTTAGAAATTTTAATGAAGTTTTTATTCAATTTCTATTGAAACCATGACAACTGTATATTAAGGAATATAAAAATGGCGACTTTGTTGAATATTTTTTAATAAAAAAAGACAAAAACGAAGGTTCAATGTAATCATTCATTTTAGACTCAAAGAGTAAAATTTCTATCGTCTATAAATTCAACGAAAGTAGGACATTGGAAAATTAAAAATTCTATTGTCAACGTATTAATGTGAAATAAAAAATATACCATGTCAACTCGTTTCAGGATTCGATTGGTTTTTGCTTTCAAACTGATTCACCAACATGTTATACTAGACGAAGATATTTTTCTTTACTAAGCTACCCTATATAGAGTATTGAACATACATACATATAAGATCTGTTACATTCATAATTTGATGAGAAACTAAATCAGAAAAAAACCGTGGATCATAGTTTATCTTTTGATCAACTTTTCACAAACACAGCGTGACATATTACAAGAATCAAATCGAAATGAATAGAATTCATAAATATTATATCATTCAAAATACTATTTTCTTTTATTACAGAAGTAACCATGATTTAGTTCTGTTTAGGTTCTTTTTCAAAAAAATTATTGAACGTTATAGTCTAATCTAAAACACTTGCTATGATTCCAATATTTCGAGAATAGACAAATTTATTTAATTTTTGTTTAAAATTGATTTACTTTTTTTTTTGAAAACAAAAATTCAAATTCTTAATTATTTTAGAAAACAAGATTTATCAATGGCTAATGATGATATTTCTACAAGTACAGTATCATTAGCAAACTGTCCAGTATCACGTAAACATCGAGTTCAAAGTCCTAGTCTATCGACAGGAAAAAATTTTACTGATGATTGCCGTATAAATAGAATTTCAACTGGAACAAATCAATCATCATCAAAATTACCAAATCTTCTTTCAAAAACTAGTATTCATACATCAACATCTGGTAATCAATATCTTAAATTTTCTTCATCTAATTTTATTTTTTTTTTCCAATAGATTTAATACAATTAAAACGACATCGTTCACAACAACAAAAAGATTTTTTTAATTCATCATCGTCTAAATTTGAACGACAATCAACAAATCTTAATTCTCAAACACGTCTACCAACATTGTATACATTAACAAGTGACAATGATCAAAAACGAATATCTGAATTTCGACGAAGACAAGTTTGTTTCATTAAGATTCTGTTTCTTTTTTTGCATATACTTTTGTATATATTTATAGATTTATGCCTTGAATCATTTAATGCGTGAATTAGAACAAGAACAATTTCGTCAGTTTTGTAAATTACATAGTATTGGTACTAATAATCATGAACATACAATCAATAGTAATGAAGATACAAACAAAAATTCATTAACATAATAATTATGCGCATTTTTCTTATTTCAAATTAATCAATTGATGAAGTAAAACAAACCATTCACCACACTACTAGTCAGTTCTCCATCCCCTCACCGTCCAGCTTTAATTGTCTATTTTTTTTGTACTATTTAACAAATTCATAAAAAAATTTGTATAAACCAATTTATTTTCATATCAAAATATAAATGATGAAAATATTTCATTGTCGAAAAATTTTTAAGGATAAAAGAATCGAGAACATCAATAATTGTTATATGTGTATATATGATAATCATAATCACTTGTATTGTATCATTATAATATTAGATAACTATGGTTTTGAATTTATAGTAGTTTGATCAAATGATATCTGCGTGTTGTAGTAATCATCCTAAAGGCGCTTACAAGTTTTTTTTTTCTTGCTCTAAAATTAAACATTGCATTATTTAGTATTTACTTACAATGTCATTGGTATCAGATATTTTTAGAATCAACCTTGATGAATGAAAATGCGCTGTTCTCAATTAATTTCTTATCTACTATATTTTGAGAGAATATATCATTAAGGAATCAAGTTTACTTTTTCAAAGTGTTAGTCTTCATTGAAATTAGTCATTGTTTGCAACTAAGAAAATGTGTTCTATTATTGAAAATAAAATTAATTTATAAAATAATTAATTGACTATTTGTAGTATGAAGTTCCAAGTTTAACTTGAAAAAATGATTATATAAGGACAGATATATTGGATGAAAATTTTTCTAAATACGGATAGAAAATATGAAATAGAACAGAATAATCGTTATAAAATTAATTGGTTTCATACTGCTAAATCCTCCGGTAAAAATTAGTTTGAACGACATTTTATAACGAGAAGTTCGACTTTTGTTCCGTCTCTTTTTTCTTCTAAATTTCCAAAAAATGACAGATTAATACACATAGCTTTATTTCATTTATCTAGAAGGTCACAACAATTGATAGAATTATTAATAGCGATAGATTCAATGCATATATTTCACCAAATTAATTCAAAAATTTTCTACATTTAACATCCCAAAGTTGGCTTATTTATTCTCAATTATTTTCTGAACAAGTTTACGGACATCGTACATATCGAAAAAATGAATTTTGAAAACTTCGAGAGATAAATTCGGAATTCATTCACAAAATGACTTGTATGTTTGACTACAGAAAAATAAAAACAGACAACAATTATTATGACTAATGAAATGATGATGCGAGTCAAAAGAGAGAGAGAAATATTTTCTTTTGTTAATAAATATCTACATTTCTTTTAATGAAAACTAGGGTGATAATGTGTCAGTTATTACATATGTAAAGAGGATGAAAGGTAGAGTGATTCACTTTTTTATATTTTCTTTCACACTTTTATGAAAATACTGCACAATGGTATTTTGCGTTGACGAAAACTTCTTTTTTATCAACAGCGCTTCTTTAGTTGTGCTCGTCGTTTTATAAAATTCATAAGAACAGTGTTAATGAGTAAAGGTTAGATTATTATGACACCTTTTTAAAATAGTGCTACCACTTGCTCAATAGGATATAGATCATTAATTTCGTTTATCATCTGGATTTATTAATGATCTGTCATTGGTAGTTTTCGCTCAAAAGCAATTTATTGTTAAAGTTCTTCTAAAACTCATAGTGGACATTTTTTGATGCATACATATATATTTTATTTTACAGCATTCGAAGAACCTCGACAACTATCGTATCGTGACAAGTTTTTGCGTATGTTTTTCCAAGTTTTTAAGTATGCTGAATTGAAATTTAAATGGGAAAAGTTTTTCAGAAGCTTGGAGAAGATTTTCTGAACAATCAAAGCACAGTGTTTTCTATTGTACAGAAAAAGCTCAATACGATGCTGCCATGTGCAAAGCACTTTCTCACTGAACCAGTAATTCGAGACAAACAGCGATTTGTGACTTGTCCAGCGGCATTGCATAGCTCGTGATACTGATGTTTGAGTACATTATCTTGTATATAGTTACCGAACAACGTAACTACTCAATCATCGTCGCAAAATTTTAAGAAAATATAATAAAAAAGCTTACGACACTCGGTATTCCCAGGCGGTCACCCATCCAAGTACTAACCGAGCCCGACGTTGCTTAACTTCAGTGATCGGACGAGAACTGGTGTATTCAACGTGGTATGGCCGTAAGCAGTAAAGGATGATTTTGTTTAGAACCAGTTGGTACACACATGATTCGATGCAGTTTTTCGCGCTGGTTCTTAACCTACTATTAATTTTGTCGAAAAATGCTTCTTAGTCAAGCAAGTTGTGAAAAAATCTAGAAAAATCTGTATCTCAGCCCAGTAGCACTTTGGTTGTTTTGACCTAATACACAACATTTTCTTTTATATAAAATTTAGGAAAAATTCGGAAACTCATATATCTAAACACGCGTTTAGAAAGAGCTCTGTACATTGAAAAACGGATTGCCTTTTCGTAGGAAAGAAATTAAAAGAAATTTTTTTTTTATAAACAAGCATATCATGAGTTCTACTTCGAGAACATGTTTGATTTATTTCTTCACTCTTTCTATCTCCTATGCATTTTTAAAAACATAGCTAAAATCACATTATTTTAGATACTAGGTTTTTCAAGTAAGTTAGAGAGTTAGAAAAAATAATTTTGGATCAAAAAATTTGTTATTAGCTAAAATATATTGGACATTATTGATATCTCAAAAAATTTCACTTTCATTTTTCCACAGTGTCCATGTAATTGCCCACTCTGCGGTAGTCCATGGCTTTGCTCAAAAACTTGCCTATACAGCAATATAATTCATGTAAGGAGAGTTTATTGTTTCTAAATAGTGGGAAAATATTCTTCGAGCACGAAGCAAAAATACACAAACCATCATTTGCATTGCTACTGATAACGCGAAAATGATTTATGGGAACAAAAGTTGTCGAAAATTTTTCAATCGATAAATTTTTACAGCCACTTAAGTATTTTCAACGAGTAAATTGTCACTTTAAAAGTATACTTATTTTGCAAAAACAAAAGTTCTAGCTTAATAAATAAGAGACATGTAAATGTGAGAATATGATTAAACATTATTTATACATACAAATACAGAAAACAAAAAAAAGAAAAAAAGAAAAGTCTGAACATTAGGGAATCCTTTGTAATGAACTTGATTATCGAAGTGCTCGTGAGATAGTATTTCTCGTTTTATTTGGCTTATTTGCACAACAACTCATTTCATTCATATATACAAATATACAAGACAAAACAAACATGTCCTGATTTTTCAACGTTGAAGAACTGTTTTTTTTTTCTTGACAAACAAAAATGCGAATAACAAGTTTCTTTTATTGACTCATTCTTACTTATTGAGCTAGAAATTTTATTTTTACACAATAAGTTTACTTTTAAATGTTCTTTAAAATAAATATTTATTTGTTGAAATGGTTCCAGTAATTGCAAATATATATTTTTTAGGAAAGTTTCTGAAAACCGTTTTTCCATACTTTATATTTTCAGATTATCTATACAGAGCAACAAATCCACATAGTCTTGCATTGTAAGGGTACTGTACATAATGTGAATAAATAGAAAAAAGCAAAGACCTTCTCTTGACATATTTTATTTTAGACCGAATGTCAAAACAGAGAACAAAATATCTTAAGCATATATGTATCTCTTTCTTCTCTTCCTTTCCTTCATTCACTTTTTATTATCAATAAAAACATCAGTTATAATGGCTCATTGAAGCCATTTTTGATTATTATTTCATGATCTTTTTGCTTTACATTACACATTAACTTTTTTTTTTGTGATACTTCAGAGCTCATAGAGGTGTTTTATTATGCTGTTTTCAAACAGAAGAAATTAATTATGACTGTTTTATTTCAATATTATTTGCTGCAATGCAATTGAATTCTAAATTGGAATGGAATATCTTCTTGAAATTGAGTTGGTTGCTAATGTTCAATGTACTCAATGGAGAGGATAAGGTCGTCGATATTAATGTTAGTTAAAAAAAAAATCTTTTTCCAAGTCTCCTTGTTTTTCTTTATCTATTTTTAGTAGATAAAACTTTTGATCCTATCATCATTGTCCAAATAATGAAATAAACAACAATAGTGTTTCTGATATAATTGATCATTTATGCATCTATAGCTTGATTTGTTGTATTAAAAGAATTTCGTTAAATGAAGAAGGTACCAACAAAAACATCAAGTTTTGATTCAGTTTCCATAGTGTTAGAACGTTGTAGTGCAACAGTTGCTAAAAAATGCGCATCAAAATGATGAAAATGCATCTAATGACAAAATTAGAGAAATTGACAGGCACTGATCTTTGTTTCGTAACAGTTACTTTTAAAAATTAATCTTGTGTAGCTGTTTTTTATTCCCTTTGATGTAGTTAAACCATTAGATTGAAAGTTTTTTTAACTATAAATTGCAAATTTTAAAAATAAACTTTACATGAGAACAGAAGGAAAAAGGTTTCCAGAGTTTTTACAATTAGCACAAACTCGGATTCTTACTCTGACTTCAAAGAAAGTTCTTTCATTGAGTTCGACTCTAATAGAGTCGAAGTCAAGTTTCAGAATTTCGTTCAAATCTCTAAGCCACATCCTTCAAAAATTACTTCCCCTGGATCAGTTAGTTTATATCGTTTACCAAAAGCACAAGTGATAAGTTTACCTGAACCAAACGATATTAATAGTGGCGTCTTTCTTTACACGTATTTCTGGTATGTTGAATAGTGGTAGTTGGTTTCTTCCAAATAAACATCTTAAAAACAAGAAAACTCACTTCGTAATTCAATTTTATAGGGAAGGGGCGGGAGGAGAAAATTTTCGCAAAAATTTTGCCATTCGAGGAAACGTTTTACTTCACAGTGAGATTCTGCATTCCTAAGAAGAAAATTAGATTATTTCAAACTTGGATATGAGTGCATCTTTGTGTATGGAGATCTAAGTGTTAGTGCGAGTGTGCACGTTGATAGATGTGTGTGTAGATCTGTCTGCAATAGTATGGA